ACCAATCTTGTTGCAGCAGTAAGTGTTTGCTTCAGGGCAATCCACATCACACTTCGAGGAACGGAGATGCACGTCGCCAGGATGTTTATGCTGGCGATGCATGGTAGAGTTGAGGTTCTGGACATCGGTCGGTATATCCTCCACTCTCGCCTCCTCATATTGTTTGTGGTCCGGCGTCTCGCCCTTCCAAATGTTCGCGATTTGCGGTTCGCTGGGGCCCGACGCCCGTGACTGGAGTAGCCCCACGCCGTCGGCCTCGTTCGTGGCGTCGCAGTTGTGCGAATCGTCCTCCATCAGGTAGCGTTCCTCCGAGGTCTTGGCTAATTCATCGGCGGCAACGCAGCCGCGGCCGACGAGCAGGATGGCGAACGCTCCCGCAAGCACCACGACGTTCATTGCGGCAACGGCGGAGTAACAGGGGCTCGGCAGCAATAGGTGCAAACCAAATGTTCCCTATTCCTGGAGAGTTGCCACAATGTCTTGAGCCAACATGGTTGCGGAGCGCCTTGGGGCCATCTTGGGCGTCTTGGGGCGATGGTTCGGTGACTCTCTGGGCTGCATTGGACCGTCTTGGAGCCTTCTTGGAGCCCTTTTCAGCACGTTTCGGGACTGCCTTGGGCCGTCTGCGAGCGCTCCCGGAGGCCGCGACACGCCATGCCCCCCGTGGTCCCTTGGCCCTTCCAGGCGGCCTCGTCCCCCGGTATATGTATATATATATATATATGTGTGTGTACGTGTGTGCACTAGAACCATCGCGCGCGCTTCGCGCGCGCTCAGGTTCTAGCCCAGGCCGGGGGGGCGCTGGACGATCTTGGACAACGCTATCAAGCGCAGGCGCGCGACGGCATCTGAGGAGCTTCTGGGGTGATCCGCATGCTTCGTCAACTGGCTGTTGGAGGCACCTCTTGGGGGAGCGTCTGAAGGTCCCTTGGGGGCATCGGTTCTGCAATCTGAAGCCGTAATTGGCCGCCTTGGCTGCGTGGAGGCCCGACTTGAGGCCACCTGCGGCCAGATTGAGGCAATCCGGAAACCTCCCGGGGCCCTCCTGGAAGCAGTTTTGACGCATCGAGGGCACTCGTGGGCTATTTTAAAACCTCTTGGACGTCTCCTAGGGGCCCTGTGGGCCCTCCGGAAGCTTTTGGGGTCCTCTTGCGTCCTCCTGTGGGCCTTTTGGGGGGAACGCTTTGCTGTTAGGTCGCGTTCCCCTTCTTGGGCCTCTCTTGGGGCTCTTGGGGCCCTCTCGGGCCGTCTTGGGCGCCTCAAGCACCGTCTCGGGGCCCTCGCGGGTCGTCTTGGGGCCCTCTTGGAGGCCTCTTGCTCTATATTGGAGCGGCATTGGAAGCCTCCTGGGCCGACTTGGAGCATCGGGATGCCAAAAGGCAGAAAAAATGAAAACCCGTCAAAGCCCAATCGTAAAACAATGAATTGTGCCTTTCGGGGCCACCTTGGGAGATCTCCTGGAACCTCGTCGGCCCTCTTGGGAGCTTCTTGGAGGCCTCTTGGATCCGATTGGGGGCCTCTTGGGACTTCCCGAGAACCTCTCGGGGTAGAAAGCTCGGACTCTCAGTTCGTGTTTCCCTTCTTGGGCCCCTCTTGGGGCCGTCTTGGGGCCCTCTCGGGCCTTCCCGGGCGCCTCAGGCGCCGCCTTGGGGCCCTCGTGGGCCGCCCAGGGCCCTCTTGGAAGCCTCTTCGGTTATCTTGGAGCTGTCTTGGAGGCCTCTTCCTCCTCCTCGCCCCCCTCCCCCCCTCCCACTCCAGCTCTCTCTCCTCCTGATATCCCCCCCCCTCCTGCAGCGTGTTCCGGAAGGCTCCCGCCGGAACGCGCTGTGCACAAGTGCTGTCACCGCTCCCGCCACAGTGCCTTGGGTGGTGGGTCAGAGGCCTCAGCGGCGTTGGTTTGGATCTCGTGGTTGGCCTGTCGGGGACGTCGTGAAGGCAGTTTCGCAGCTTCTCGGTAGCCGTTTTGGGACCGTTGTGGGGCCTCCTCGGGGCTGTTGCGTTGCCTCGTTAGGCCTCGTTCGGGCCTCCTGGGTGCCTCTTGGGGGCCTCCTGGGGCACTCTTCAAGCGGGGGGGTCGAATTTTGGAGTCGTGGCCCCCCTCTTGGGCGCATCTTGGGGCCGTCTTGGGGATCTGTCGGGCTGTCCTGGGCGACTCTGGGGCTGTTTTTTTAGGGGGGGGGCAAGTTAGGGCCAACATTGCATTCAACGGTCACCAAACGTGACGAGATAAACCAACCGCGCTCATTCCCGGAGGAAGATCGAATGCGAGAGGGAACGCCAATCAGCAACATGGGATACAATACTTGCGACAGAGAAGTGACCCACTTGCAAGTCACACCCGATATGCATTAGTGAGGAACCACTTGACTCCACGGAATGAGTGCACCACCCACTTTGACGCGAGTGTCCGAGAACTGAGATTCGTGTTCGGCGGAGAACCACTTCAACCTCACGGACTGAAGAGCGATGTGGCACCCGTAGCAGGCATCATAGATACGGAACTTGGTGTAGAAGACCGCTGCCTTCTTGAACAATCTTGAGCACGCACGCGTGACCGAGACGAGATCATCAGCATCAAGGAGGCAAACTGGCCTGCAGAGCGGTGTGACTTTTGCACAAACGACACAGTGCGGGGCAGGAAGCATCCTGGCAGTTGGTGGAGCCAAAATGACTCACATACACACAACATAACCAGTAGGACATTAGCACTATAATAATCGGAGGAAGCTCGGCGCTCCTGATACCCACAATCTCAGAGCCTCAGAGAGGGCACAAGTGGGACCATTAGAGACACGACAACAAAAACGTGTGTCAACTCATGTTCATGGCGCCTTTCATAGCAGCAGCATTGTTTTGGCATTCCGTACACACGTCGACATCGCATGATGTGCATACCAAGAAGCTCTCATGTGCATTGATGTCCTGACCACAGTAGTCGCAGCAATACTTTCCCGATATGTGAGAGATGCGCCCGCGAAGCCCACGCAGCGCGGGACAATTGAAATGAAAGGTTTTCTCGCGCAGGAGCACTTTGTCCTCTGCGGGCTGCTTACCAACTGGCGAATCTACACTCGCGCCCTCATGAACACGTGTATTCTGAGAGGCAACCCGTGTTGACAACACTCCAAGCCTATTTCCAAGTTCCACAATCATATCCATAGGGTTGTCGGTGATGATGAATTGGATCATGCCGGCGGGGTCATCGCTTAGGCTGGGCTTGAGGTAGTTCGCCAGGGAGAGCAACCAGCTGTCACACTGCGCCCTGCGACCAGCACTCATAACCGCGTACGCGTCCAGGTAGAGCTTCACTACATCCGTTGCCAGCATGGTCGAGCCGCCAGAGCCATCCTCAGGCATCGAGGGGACAACGCCCACCGCCGAGTCCTGGAGAACCGCTGCGGGATGCTGGGACAGGTAGTCCTCGACAAGATGGGAGTCGGTCATGCGAGTCTGAGAAAGGGAACACTCCGTACTCGCTGCCACATTCATATCATGATTAGGTATGGGACCAGACAACTCTTCCTCGGCACTGCTCAGCTGCATAAATTTGGCGGTGGGGTCTGTGACCTCCCCCTCAGACGAATCAATCGGAACCGCAGCCATTTCCTCATCAGACGTCGCCAGTCTCCTGCTGTGGGAGCGTTGGGGGGAGGGCAGTGCTCTCAGACAAGAGGGAGGACCATTTCGGGTGGGCGGCCGCATTCTCTTGCGACTCAAGAGCCCGAGCCGATTAGATAGAGCGTGGTGTCCTCCATTACGAAGACGTAGCTTCGCATCTTGAATCCGAGAGCAATCAAGAGATGTCAGAATAGCCTCTTGAATAACAAGTGGGTCCTCTTCTGCCTGGCGGTCCGTATTAGCACTGAATTGAACGATGGCCGCTCGAATGGCAAAGCGGCGGTCGCTGGCGCATAGCGACGAAGCGGCAATGGAGTCAAGAACACCAGACAGCTCCATACCGAGAAAGTACGAGTGCAGAATGCAATCGCGCCGCCGCCAGCTAGCCGAATGGCTTGAGCCAAAATGGCTACGGACGACTCTGGGGCCGTCTTGGGACCCTCTTGGGCCGTCTTGGGGCGCTCTTGGGGGCCTATTGAGCCGTCTTGGAACGTCGGACAGCCGAGAAGGCTGGAAAGCCAAAATCGTTCGAAAATCTGTTGTACAATTGACGATTTCGGCCTCTTGAAGCGCTCTGGAGAGGCGTCTTGAAGCGTCGTGGAGTGCCTTGGGGGGCCTCTCGGGCCGTCTTGGGCCTATGCCCGCTTGGGCCGTCTTGGGAGCCTCTGGAGGCCCTCCTGGAGCATGTTGGACCCCCCCGGCCGCCCCGCCCTCCCACGCGGGGTCGGAGGCGGCGGCCTCCGAGGCCCAGGACGCGGAAGCCCTGTAAAAACCAAAGGAAAATGAGCCCCGGCACTCCCACCCACCCCCCCCGGGGCAGCCGCCCTGGGCGCCCAGGCGTCGTGCACGGGGATATTATATATATATATATATACACACAGATACATACATACATACATACATACATACATACATACATACATACATACATACATACATACATCTCTCTATATATATACATACATAAATATATATACAAATATACATGTGTATAGACATACATACATACAAACATACATACATACGTACATAAATACATGCAAATGTACATACCTACATACCTACCTGCCTACCTAATACCTACATACATACATACATACACACATTCTGTCTATCTTGTGAACCACGATGGACTACAGACGGAGCTCTGGATCACCTCTGGGCTTTCTCTCTTCATAAACTCCACTTCTAGATCAAGCCCGAAAACACTTAAGTTCCAGGAAATCTCCGAAACAGGGCGCTGGCCCTAGACATCCGAACATCCCTCCTCGGCCTTCGTCGCCGCGGCTGGGAGGGGGCGGAAGGGCGAAAGCCCAAAAGCGAAACCAACGCCTCGATCATTTGTCACGAAACGCGCGCCGGCAAACAGCCGGCGTCATACATCACAGCACACGGTGCCTCACGTTACCGTCGAACTTCATCGCGAAGCAGATCAACTTCACCAACCGCTCCATCGTGTCTTGGTCGAGGGCCTTCGTGAACAAGTCCGCCGGGTTCCAGTGCCCATCGACCGTCTTCAGCAACAACCTTGTATTCTGAATACGTTCTTGCAACCACAGAAATTGAACATCCAAGTGTCGAACAGCCCCCAGTCCCTGTCGGCGTGCAAGTCCTCTCGCGGCTGACCTATCGCTGAAGATGTAAAGCTCCATCTCGTAGTCAACCTCGACTCCAAGGTCGGCCGAAGTGGCCTGTACTCCAAAACCGTGGCAGGCTCCACGCAGTAGCGCGTAGTACTCGGCCTCGCCGCTGCTCAAACTCACCGCGGACTGGACCGCGCTGCCATGTTTCAGCAGATGCGTTCCCCACAGAATGGCCATCCCACTTCGGGAACGCCTCGTGATCGAATCACCCGCGTAGTCGCTGTCGCAGTAGACGCAAGCCTTCCTAGGCAGCCGCTGAGCGGGAAACAGCAACCTTCCAGCGCGGTGCTTCTTCAAGTAGCGGCCGATGCGCTTCAAATCCTCCACGCGCGTCTCCTTCGGCTCCTTCATGCGTCTAGCCTGCATACTCGCGCTGTAGCTGATGTCGGGCCGGTCCAGACCCAGGCACATGATCCGCATGGTCACGCTGCGGTAGGTCTTCACCTTCTCGTCGTCCGACTTCGGCGAGGTCTGGTTGCTACTCAGGATCTCCGCGACAGACCTCTTGACAGCCGGGGTCGTCACCTCCTTCGCGTTCCCCAAGCCCAGGTCCCTGATCACCTTCTTCACGTGCCGGGCGTCCGCTTCGAGGTAGGCCGAGCGCTAAGGGGTTCCAGATCAACACCCGGTTGAGATAGACCACGCTCTGTTCCTGCAGGGGCCTGCTGCTCATAATACCCGCGACCTTAAAGTCGTAGCGCGAAAGCACGTCCTCGAACCACCCCTCCTGGGACTTGCGCATAATCACACCAAAGTCGTCGCTGTGGACCTCCGCTTGTATATGACGCTCGGCGCGGTACAGCAGCGCTGGATTCGAGACGCCCTTCACGAAGCCGTGCGAGCTTGTCAGGCCGATGTAGTCGTCTTGCCACACATGATATGCATCCACTGTGCCATACATAGTCTTGAGTAGCCTGCCCACCATGGGTTCCGGATCGTCGTAGGTCTCCTCCTCGGGTAACTCTACATACACTTCGCGATTCACATCTCCATAGAAGTGCGCCCTCGAGATGTCGTAAAACTTGTAAATGATTTCCTCTGCGTCGCCGTCGTGGTAGGCGTCATTCACGCGGCCGACACAGATGGTCACCATCGCCTTGAACGCTTCCAGCGGTGGCATGGCCGAGAATAGTTCAGCTTGATCTGGTCGATCTTCGGACCTCATAGCTTTCTTAATCTCCCTCGCGACCAGCCTCGAGCGATACCGTGGTTGAGTTCGGTCGCCCTTGTTCGTGTCGATCCACTGCAAGGTCACTGCGTTCTTGTCGTTCTCGAGCATCTCGCGTCTAGGTACCTTCTTCCATACCTGCCCCCCGCGGCACCAATCCAGTTCTTCCTGCCTCGCGGCTCGCGCACCCTCGGAGTCCAAAATCTCGCCCGTGAGATCGTCGATGAAGTAGTGGTCCTGGTACTCAGCGAACACCTCAGTGTCTTCTTCATGTGGGCGTGGTCCTCCACAAAGAGCTGCAAGTAGGTTAAGCCCTTCACGTCGTCGAAGCTCCTCTCGTAGCCCTTTGAGAATAGCTGTCACCAAGCTCGGAGGGCATCGGCGTGCACGTTTGGCGCGTCCGTCAACCAAATGAACATGGCGAGCGAGTTCTCCGTTCGGACCCCTGGGGCACCGGCAGTAGCCTTCGAGGATCTCGGCGAGCAGCTCGCCATTAGTGAGCCACCCGGTCTCCTTCCGAACGAAGCCCCACTTTCCGTGGGAGTCGGTCGACTGCATGTGCCAACGGCAAATAGGTCCATGGACTAGGAATACGCCTGCCAACTGCATGACCTCCTGCACGCTTGGGCGGTACCAGCTACTCGCTGACCAAGGTGCTTCGTAAAGAAATAGCTTCCACTGCCAGGCCGCGCGCGGGGCCGCACCTGAACGTCATCTCTGCAAATCTTCTCGGCGAATAAACCTCCGCAGTGTCCACTGCGCAAATCTCGGTAAGAAGTGGCGCGATCTCCTCCACCTGCTCTGCGTCGTTCACGTTGGCGTTCGTCCGCATCTCGAACATCACCAGCTCGCAAATCACGACAAACGCGCGGCCTTTGTCGTAGCAGTTGAACCGCTCCAGGAAGTCGACGTCCACCGATCCATCGGGAGCCCGGCTCGGTCTCGATGCCAATGCCGATGCTGAACTTGATGACGCTGCCTGGGACATCGCTGCGTCTGCTCGCCTGAGCGCGAGCCGAGCATCAGCAGTTGCAGGTGCTGAGCTTCCTCTCGCATCGCCTCGTACCCGGGTAGCTCGTCCAGGGTCGGGTGCGTCTCCTCGGCGCTTCCTGACAGCGCTCGGTTCGCTTCCACCGCCTCCGGCCGGCACCACCGCCATCTCGGCGCCCCTCTGCTCTGGGGCAGGAGCTCGATCGCCGTCCCCAGCGGGCGGCGGTAAGGCAGCTTGGTCTCCTCCAGCTGCTTCTCGACCTCGAACACCTCGACCGCGTGCTGCTTGGTCTCCGGCTCGAAAGTGGTGTTCGGTAACTCGTACTCGAACTTCATCGTTACCCATCATCAGCTCTGCGATCCTGTCGCGGCACTCGTCGCTGTGGGATTTCGTGATCTTGCCCTTCTGCGTCAGCTCCAGGCATCCTGGACAGCCCGCAGTGGCACCATACTTCTCGATGTCGCGGCGCAGGACGTACCTCGCTCGCGGGGCTCGCGGCTCCATCCGAACGGTAGCCGCCACCGGCGCTCTCGCCAGAGCCGGCGCCTGCTCCTCCGGGCGAGTCGCCCAGGGAACTCCTCGAAGAGCTGCCCAGTCCATGCCGCCCCAGGCCTGCTCCTTCGGCAATATCTTGAAACCTTGGGCCTTCTCTACGCCGTCAACCGCCATGACGAGCAGGGCCCCCGTCCGCATGTGGTAGCCCAGGAAGTTCCCGGACTTCACGCGCTCCTCCATGGTACTCCCACGACCTCCTGGCGCGAGCGGCCTGTACATCACCCGCTCGCCGAACTCTGCTTCCAGCTTCTTCCAGTCGCGGCCTGAGCGCCGCTGTTCTCCAGCGAGGCCATCGGTTCCGCGTCGGTGCCGGCCAATGCAGGCCGCGGCGCACTGGGGCAGCCACTTCAAGATCGGGTGGTCATCATCCACTTTCCTGCCGAGCTTGGCCTCCAGCGCGTACCTGGTCGCCCTGACCTGCCTCTTGACCTCTCGCACGGTAACCTCGATGCCCCCGTTGCTCTGGTGCTCTCCTGCCGGCGATTCTCGAGGCAGGAACTCCACCGTCGGCGTCGCCACTGCGACCGCCGTCTTGAGTGCCACGATCGCGGGCCCCCCGTCGCTCTGGAAGATCAGCCTGCGGTAGCCGAGGTGCAGGGTGAAGCTCATCTGAATCTTAATCATGAAATTGGTGACCTTCTTGCCCGGGATCGCTGTCGAGTAGGGCAGCTTCGTCTTAGAATCTCTGCCCACCAGCATCGGGAAGTTGCCCTCCTGGCCCTCGCCCCCCTCGCCGGTCTTCTCGCCCATGAACGCGAAGTCGATGGCCACAACCGGATCTGCACCTCCAAGAGCTTCAGCTTATAACCCACGAGGTTGGCCAAGCCCTCGAGCTGCACAACAAACTTCACACCAATCTCGAAATACGGCGTGACCTGTAGCCTCGCGTTGATCGACTTCAGCTCGAGTAGGTAGTCGCTCTCGCCCCTGCACTTTCGCTGGTGCAACCTCCTGAGGATTACCGTCATAGTCTTCGTCGTCTCCGATCCCTTCTCGTACTTCAGCTGGCTGGGGAGCGGGGCCCCCACTCCCTAGCGCTGCCGCCGGTGGTCTTACAGGCGGCCCCGCCGCTGGCGATTCCGGCGGCTCCGAGGCGCTCGCGCCTCCCACGGGACCGCTGCCTGCCAACGAGGGCCCGCGCTCGCCGGCGCCCACGGACAGAGGTCGGCAACAGCAGCTGACCCCGACGAAGCGGCACCGGCAGGTTGGTCCATCAGCACGCCCATCTCGTAGACTCCGTTCTGCAAGTACAGCGGCACGATGCCCTCGTTGCCCTCAGCCACGTACTGGTCGATCATCTGGTGGATCTCCTGCGTGAACTCGTTCTCCTTCAGGATGTAGCCGCCGAAGGCGCCGACCCACGTGAAGTGGCCTTTGGCGGCGGTGGCTGAGGCGGATAGGAGCGGCTTACTCCTTTGATGCCGACGCCGCCCCCGTCCTCTACGATCTCGCCAGTGGCTGCACGGCATGAGCTGCCGTCGGCCTCGGTGCACTCGCCCTCCTGCCCGAGCGGGAAGGCAGCGGCAGCGGCGCCGGCGTCGAACGTCATCGCGATGCACTTCCTGTACTGCTTCGCGCCCTTCGCCTCCACGCTGTTCAGCTCCAGCACGCGCTCGAAGGCGCCGAAGCTGAGCGCGGCGGGCGACTGGTTGCATACGCTGGCCTGCGAGGCCGACGCCGGTAGCTGCGTGCTGATCGCGCTCTGCGCGTGGCCCTCGAAGTTGTCGAGGTAGCCTCGGCGAACGCCTGACCGTTGGAAACGCTGGCCCTTCGGATCCTTGCCGTATCCTTCGCCCTTGCCTTTGTCATCCTTACCTCCTCTCTCGGTGGGCCCCCAGCAATCTTGTGCACGATGGCCCTTCTTTCGGCAATTCCAGCAGGTCACGTTCGAAATGTCCGTCTTCCCTTTTTCCGCTACCGGTCTTGCCCTTGCCATCTTTGCCCTTGCCCTTGCCGCATTTGCCCTTGCCGTCGCCTCCCCTGACGGACGCGTCGACCTCCATCGGATCGCCTCTCGACCAGCCA